GTAATCCTAGAGCTGATAGGCAGACAGGAGGAACCCAGAAGCTTGCCCAGCCAGCCAGTCTAGCTGAATTGGTGAACTCCATGTTCAGTGAGAGACCCTCAAAAAACAAGAGGGAGAGCAATAGAAGACATCCATCACCTGACTGACATCCTGACTGATGCTGACTTGCTATATAGATACATGGGCACATACACTCTCATATATGAATAAACCACACAAACATCTACATACAAGAGAGTTGTAATCTTAACAGATTATCTCTTCACACTTGACATCCAAGAACAAAACAGTGGGAAGGAAGAAGAGGTGTGTCTTTCCAGGTAACAGTGCACGGGAGCTTAGCTAATCCCACTTCCAGTTTTTCATTGTGCATCTCTCCCCGCTGTGCTTTGCATACTCCACTGTATTGTACTGCTAGACCTTCTGCACCTCCACCCACCAGATCTAAAATACACCATTCGCTAAGTCTTCTGTAAGTTCCTCCTCTCTTCCCAGGTTTCCATGTGATGAAATACTCATTTACGTGTGAAAACATGTTATTTACAATGCTGTTACTATGTCCATGTTCTTACAAATCATAATTTTTAAGCTAAGCCACCTAGCTGTATTCTTTCAAACCTGTCAATTAATATATTTCATTCAGTGTACTTATATATCTTTATATGCTATGTATGTCTGGACAATATTTACAAATATTTTGTGGGAAAGAGATATTACTTTCCTCAAATAATACTAGATTTGACTCTTAATTTTATTTCATGGTGCAGCTTAACAACTATAATTTTGTTGTAAAATTGATCAATTGTGTTGACAATTTTATGTGCTTAACTTTAAAACTACAAAATATGTAAAGTTTGTATTTTCTAAAGCCAAATCTTAGAGAACACAAAGCAGTAATTAGAACTATGGAAACCCTTATCTAGAACCAATCACCCTGCAGTCAATCACTTTACAACTTAATAACCTAGCAGGAATAGCTAGAAAGCTGTAGTCTTCAATTCATGAAATGAACAAAGGTTCAGTACTTCCACTTGTGTAGAGGAAATGTGCTGTTGGTCTCTGCTTGCTCTTTTCTTTTGCCTCTTCTAATTTATTTTATTTTATTGTTGTCATTGCTGATTCTTTTTATGTTTATTCTGGGGAAACTAGATAGAAAAAATGGACAATTTAAACAAATATTGCAGGAAAAAAGTTAAAGCTACTTTTAGGATAATGGTATCTATATGCATATGTATGTCCTATAATCTTTGCCATATATTTATGTTTTCTACTAAAATGATCATTCTGAACAAATAATTTTACCTTTATATTCCCTTTATTCCCTGTTATGTACCTGATTGGTTCATCTCATGAATCCAGACTTCCCAAACTAGCTGGTTTAACTGTCCAGTTTTTATTTCCTGTTGCTGTGATAAAATATCCTGAGAAGCAGCTTAGGGGAGAAAGGCTTCGTTTCAGCTCACAGTTCCAGTTTACAGTCCAGCATAGGGGAGGGACCCAGCAGCTAGTCACATCTGCAGTCAAGAGAGAGTGAATCCGTGTGGTTTGGACTCAGCAGTGCAGGACCCACACCCAGACAATGGCACTACCACCTTAAGTTAGTGTCATTCCACATAAATTATTGCAGTCATGACAGTCCTCCACAGACATGCCCCAGACAACATAATCTAGACAGTTCCTCATCGACACTGCCTTCCAGGATTTTAATTTGCCTGTGTCTTCTGTAGTAGGGTAAATCCCTATTTAATATATGTGCCAGCAAAAGGAAGCTACAAATATCTGCTTCCTGTCTCCCATCAAGAAAATTTTCATATTAACATTTATTTACATACGCATTTTCAGAAGGATATTCTTCCTTAGTGATGAACAATTTTAAACTAGACATTAATAGATTCATCCCTTTGTTCTACATTGTTTCCATTAGGTTGTTCTTTACATTGTTAATTTTTTAATAAGTATAATTGCAGCTAAATCTGTATTCATTGACTTTTGGCTTAGCTTAAATCCTGAAGTAGAATTTCTAGGTTAAATATTAGGATTTTAAAAATATTTGCATGTTGCCAAATTTCTCTTCAAAAACCTATCAGTGAGTCAGGTACAGTGCATGTATACCTGTAATCCCAGCCCCTGGAAGGCAGAGGCAGGAGGGGTGGCCACGGGTTCAAGGCCAGCTTGGTCTAAATATTGAGTGCTGGGTCAAGCCAGTGCTATATAGCAAGACTGTTCAAAAGCAAAGAAACAATCATAAAAACATCACACGAACAAGCAAACTAATAGGAAACCAATAAAAGTGTCAGTGACTCACCCACAGCAGTGTTGATTTTTATCATATTTCAGACCCTTAACAACTTATCCTCTGTGTGACAAGTCCACTTTCCTAACCACAGTGACAGATCCAGAAGGCCACCATGTGTGACCATTTATTACTACAGGGAGTTCATAAAGTAAGAGTTCCCAAAGGAAGCCCCCATTGGATTGCTTTAGTTTTAGATGATGTCTAATGAGGGAAGGACAGGAATCCTACCCTCAACCTCCTCCTCCAGATGTGTTGGTGGAATGCAGCTGCGCAGAAACTCAGCCCTGGGGTCAGCAGAGGGATGAAAAAGGGCACTCATTTCATAAAACATTTAATTTACTTCTACTGTAAATGGTCAAGGTTATATTAAAGTGAGTGTATGTCTATATGACCATAGTAACATCATAATATTATTTTATCTGTCCATCTACATATTGCTTTAATAGTTTCACTTATCATTTTTCTTGATTTTGATTATGGCCTTTGTATCCAACTATGAAAAGTAAGATGAAAAATGATAAGATGCAGTAGGAAGTATTGTTTATGTCTGTCTTGCTTCCTCTGTGGTAGATTAGGAGGTTCTTTAGTGATGGATATATACCCGGTGCATACCCTATGTAACTACAGTACTGTTAATATGGCTGTGGGACACAGGTTTTTATTTTAAAGCCTTCCTCTCAACAAAACTTTGGCCTTCTGAGGTTATTCTTTTCTGGTAGAGCATGCTCCAAAATTCACATGTTGCCGGGTGTGGTAGTGCACGCCTTTAATCCCAGCACTCAGGAGGCAGAGGTAGGCGGATCTCTGTGAGTTCAAAGCCAGCATGGTCTACACAGGACAGCCAGGGTGATTACACAGAGAAGCCCTGTCTTAAAAAACCAAAACAAACAAACAAATATGCTAAACCTCTCTCTCTTGCTCTTCTCTCTCTCTCTCTCTCTCTCTCTCTCTCTCTCTCTCTCTCTCTCTCTCTCTCTCTCTCTCTCGTGTGTGTGTGTGTGTGTGTGTGTGTGTGTGTGTGTGTGTGTGTGTGCGCGCGCATGCGCGCACGCCACAAATTCATGGAATAAGAGCTATCTGGAAAGAAAGGTGTTCCATACACACAGCTATTCTACTTCAGAATGCTTTGTAGAACATTATTGAATGATGACAGTCTTGGTAATAACTATGAGAAGGAAAACAGAATTCTTGTAGTTCTTCCTCTGAGCCTAACACTCCACTCACAGCCTTCCTTGTGTTTTTTCACTCTTTAAATAAGATTGCAGAAAATTAAGAAGGTTCCTTCAAGGTTATATGGTTAGTCACTAAAGCCAAAGATCAAATCCTGATGTCCTGAGTCAGTGCTGTATACTTTCCAACAGTACCATTTGGCTGTAATAAAACCATTTAGACATTTTAATCCCTCAGGGTTCTTCAATTCTGGTATAAATGTCATTCTCATTGATGATCCTAAATATATATTTATTTATATGTATTTATTTTGAAGGGCTTTAACCTCCACATACTCCCTAATGTTATAATTTCCACTTATCAGCTTTTCCCTTACAAATTATTTAAAACAAATATTCTTCTTTTGCACATGATAATCCTAGGGCTCAGAGTAGCACACATAATTATTCTTCAGAAGATGTCAGTGAGGTGGCAGCACAGCTGGGATTCTACTGGAAGACTGCCTTCTACACGATTACTCTCCATTTTATTAAAGAAGAACAAAATCCAACAAATGGGAACATTGTTTGTGTGGGGTATTGTGAAAATGCAAGCAGTGATTTTCTCTCTGCCTTATTTCTCATTAAAATTGATACGAGAAACAAATAGTTCAATGTAGTTTTAAACTTTCACACTGGATCTTACCCTTTTAAATCTTGGGGAAGATATTTTTGTCTCTTGACTTTTAATTCCTTTCTTTTATTACTCACGTGCTGAACAGTCCCATTATCAGGACAAAAGTAAAGCACAAACTATAACTCTAATACCAAGTCAAAATGATGATGTCTAAATAAATTTCCCAATCCCTGCAAAACAGGCTGCAGATTTATAGGGAGCAGCTGGAGAGCCTGCTTGCAGATGTTTCATCCCCATTCTGCCTCCTACAACTCCCCAGGAACTGCAAGAATCCCTGGTCCTGTCTTCAATTTACTCCCTGTGAGGTATTAGTCTTGCAGTGGTCCATGGTCCGCTTCCAGGTTTCAGTGATTCGTTAACTACTTTCTGACTCTGTCTAAAAATATGAGGGAAGTCTTTATTTTTGAAAACTTGAATTACACCAATAATTACAAATTAAGTAAAATTAAACAACTGTTTAAAATGTAAGAGTAATGAAAATATCTAGCCCTCTTAGAAAAATTAACCATTATTAAGTAAGCCTACTTAAACTTAAAGCACATGTGGCCTTCTGCACAGCCCGCTCTTAAGAAAGCCCCAGTTTTCATGTTTGTGTTCTCCATGACCATTCAACCAGTGCCTCAGGAGCAGAAATAAACTTGAGTCTGACTTTGTGCATAGTTGCCTTTTGTGTTATAGTTGTCTGGATAGAGAATAGAGTATATTCAAGACTATGCTACCTGGAAATCTTAAATCCTAAAAATACATTCCAAAGATGCAAAATTTACTTGTTATATTCCTGATGTTTCCTCTAAAATGCCTCTTCTGTCTTTTCCCTTTTTACTCTCATCTTCATTTTTAATGATCTACCGGCTGACAGTGTGTTTACATCCAAAATGCAAAGCAGACAGATGGGCATGTCAGGGAAGAACATGACCAAAAGCACGAGCATCAGTGGAGACATGTGCTCCCTCGAGAAGAATGATGGCAGCCAGTCGGACACCGCAGTGGGCACCTTGGGTACCAGTGGCAAGAAGCGACGCTCTAGCATTGGGGCCAAAATGGTAGCTATTGTTGGTCTCTCCCGGAAGAGTCGCAGTGCGTCTCAACTCAGCCAAACCGGTAGGAATTTTTATGTTTCTCTTGACTTCTTCCTGTTTGAGTTGTCCTTACAATACGCATTCTTTTCGTGTTGTTTTATCACAGTAATTGTGGATAGTGACATCGTCCAGAGGAAAAAGGGAGTTTTAGGCTAGTTCATACGTCTGAAAAGTAACAATGATTTTTTTTCAGCAATCTAGCAGCCAGTTTGAAAGTGAACTGTGGCGGCAGTTGAAAGTGGGTGTCTTTGCTCCTCAGGGGAGACTCTGACTTCGACTGCTAGGTGCTGAGGCCTTGTGAGGCAGCTTTGATCCGCGGGACCCTTGCTTTCCCCTAGGTTCCTCACCGTGGAGCGCGCTGCTTTAATTTTCGTTCCCAGCAATTTGCAATGGAGATGATGACACCCCATATTTTGAGTTTATTGCAGACAACCTAACCTTCTTTTCAGTTTGGAAGCAACATTTACCAGTACTATCCATCTCTTCACTGAGTCTTCATTTCCTTGTTAAAACTTCAAGAACCAGTATTCTTCAGCCGCTGGGATGGAAGGATTTTTCTGCTGACAGTGAAGATATTCAAGGCTTTGCTACTTTAAATCCGGTTTCTAATTACATCTGCAAAAATAAATTATATACAGCACTCCTACTTAGAAATGCCACTGTTAGCAATTAAGAAATTTCTGAGTCAAAGCATGCCTCTTTTTCAAATGGATGTTGCTAATTAAACCCTGGTATCTTGAAAATAATAGCATATCTTCTACTTAAACAAAGGCATGTAATATGGTGTTCTTTTATAGTAAAATAAATTAATAGGCAACTGGATTAAATCTAATTTCTGTTTGGATGCTAGGGTTTTTTGTTTTGTTTATCAGAAATTGGAGTATATTTCTACAACACAAAATAATTTAAGATTGTATTAATTCTTGGACCCGCCTAATCTTGGTTTTGCAAACCATATTTTGATAATGAAAACTGGGCCTTGTGTGATAATAACATCATATTGAAATAGTTATTTGATAATATTCTTTAAATTCTGGTTACAGCTTACTTTGTAGGTTTTGTTATTGTATTTTTTGTTTGGTGTTTTAAAATACTATTTCTCATTTTTACTTAGAAACATAACTTTAATTTGCCGATACACAGATTACCTTTAAATGATTTCAAAAACAGCTAGTACTTATACATGATTAAGTGTCGTGTTGACATAACAAATGTTGGGATTTTGATTGACAGGTGATTTTGTACTTTCTAGCAATTAAAACTTTTTTTGCAAATCCTTAGTTAAAACTCACACACATGTGTAAATCTGAAATTGCTGTAAAGTAGTCTGTGTTTTAAAAAGAATTAGAAATGCACAACCAATTAGTGAAGGAAAGGGGATGCAGAGAGGCAGAGCCCCGTCCACTGAGCTGCATTAGGACAGCCACAAGGCAGCAGTCCAGCTGTTACACTCTAGGGAAACCATGGTGACATGTTTTGGGCATCCCAAAAAGCCTTAAGGAAAGACCTTAAGGAATGAAGATGCTGTGGGTGTTTAACTCAGTTGAAACATCATATAGTGCATACATTTTTTTGAAACATCACATTCAGTTAACATGTGAACTTCTTATGTGGCAGTAAAAAATACATTTATTTTTTACTTCAAAATGAGAAGACTAAAACTTAGATAATATCTGGTATTAACCTACATAATTAACTACACTTAATAAAATCTTTGGCAAACATTGAGCATTTACTGTGTATCAGATGTATCAAACACAAAGGCAAGCAAAGGTCATTTATCTCAGGATTCTTTTTGTTTTTTTGAGACAGGGTTTCTCTGTGTAGTTTTGGTACCTGTCCTGGATCTCACTCTGTAGACCAAGCTGGCCTCAAATTCACAGAGATCTTCCTGGCTCTGCCTCCCGAGTGCTGGGATTAAAGGCGTGTACCACCGCCGCCTGGCTCAGGATTCTTAAAACATAAGAATCCGAGACAAATATTTAATACGTTGCTTCCAGCATCTGTCAGATGAACTAGAGTTACACGAAGATCCACTGGGCCTTCAGATTACAGCTGGCTCCCCAGTCTAGGGTTTCAGGAGGTAGTTCCCGGAGAAGATGGCCCCTGATCTACGGTACCATCTCAGTGACTGGAGTGACCATGAACTAGGCTCCAGACAGAAACCATAACGAACAAGGTTTAAAGGTGGATGTGTGCCAGAATGATTAAGCTGTTCTGTGTAATTTTAATGGAAGGTACTGGCCTGACTGCCTGGAGATAAGGCTGATAGATAAGTGAGCACGAAACTCCTGTTGGAATGGAGTGAGTTGGGATGAGGTAGAGAAAGGATAATAGACTCAGGGGAGTTTTAAAGAGTGCAGTTAGTGCCGGGTGGTGGTGGCGCACGCCTTTAATCCCAGCACTTGGGAGGCAGAGGCAGGTGGATCTCTGTGAGTTCGAGGCCAGCCTGGTCTCCAAAGCAAGTTCCAGGAAAGGCGCAAAGCTACACAGAGAAACCCTGTCTCGAAAAAACCAAAAAAAAAGAAAAGAAAAAAAGAGTGCAGTTAGTACTCAGGCGCTGACCACTGGGTAGACATGAGGCGCTAAAGAGGTGGTTCAAAGCTGCCCCCCAGATTCCTTGTTTGCCGCTGTAGGTGGATCACCGTGCCCTTAACACATACTGTATGCAGAAGAGGGTATGTAGGGAAGGACCAGCGGGGATGAGTGATTCAGAATACTCTGACATCCTCTGTGCAAATCCCCAAGGAGAGGTATCCAAAACATACTCAACCAAACATGTCTCATCTTGACATAAACATGAGAGTTATGAAGTTTAGACTAAAGCTGAAATTGTCTGAGAAGAACATAATGGATAAAAGAGCAGTAAACTGAGACAATACTCTTTGGAAGATTGATCTTTAGAGTTTGGTCCAGGAAGGAGGTCACAGAGAAGAAACCAAAAAAAAAATAGAATGATTATGAAAAAATGACAGAAGCTCTTAAGCATGCTGTGTCCAGGAGCTAGAATCAAGAGAGGTTGGTCAGTATTTCTCCATGGCCAATGTCTTTTGTACAGTTTTTGCAAAAGTATTCCATATATACTTACACAGCATTTCTATTTCAAAATTATGGATCTTGTGAGCCTATATAGAGATTCTTTAACAATACTGGCTTGGTTTCCATGTATAACTAATCATAGATTATTTTTTACCTTCACAAACATATATCATTCAATTTTTAATCATGTTTAAAATTGGTAATTATTTCCAAATATCAACTTAGTAGTTTTGACCTAGTAACAACAGAATTCAGACCATCTCTTTGTACAACTACAGAACACTCCTTATATATAGCTATAGATAGGTAGGTAGGTAGGTAGATAGATAGATAGATAGATAGATAGTTAGATAGAGTTGTTATATATAGCTACTGCACACACACATTGTGAGATATATGTGTGTCTTGTGTGTGTGTGTGTGTGTGTGTGTGTGTGTGTGTGTGTGTGTGTGTGTGTAAAATAGGTCCCCTTTAACTTGGCTTTTTTTCCCCCTAATAACCAATTGAGTCCAATTAGTGCTGCCCATGTGTTCGTGGGTGTGCGGCCATCCACTGGAGGGTGGGTAACCTACCAGTGGCCACACTCTCCAAAGAAAATGACTTTCTCCAAAGCTAAGAGTGGGTTCATTTCTTCGTCAGGATCTCATCCTCTTATGTCATGTTGTTACTGCTTATAAAAGAATAAAACTCTTAAATGTTATTGTTAAGGAAACAATATGTTTCCATTATTTCTGCAAATGCAAATGGTCTTGTATTATACTTTTCCGTACATGCAGGTTCTAAATTATTAATTTGCTAGTGAACTCTTGTGTTATTTTATTTATTTTCCTATCACAAATTAAGATTGCTTGTTTGACCCTAGATTCTAATCTGTGTACCTTACTATCCATAACTTTTTTGGTTTTTTGAGACAGGGTTTCTCTGTGTAGCTTTGGAACCTGTCCTGGATCTTGCTCTGTAGACCAGGCTGGCCTTGAACTCAGAGATCCACCTGCCTCTGCCTCCTGAGTGCTGGGATTAAAGGCGTGCACCACCACTGCCTGGCTCCATAACTTTATAACATCTAAAAAGGACCTTTTGCCGACAACTGCAACATGTGTTCAGTCTATGAGGTAGTTCATAGGCACCTTTGGAGGATCATTCTGACTGCCGTCAGTGTTAATAGTAAAGAGGATAGAGAAGAGGAGTATTCAAAAACACTACAATGCACTTAAGTGACTATTTATATCTTAGATACTTTCTTGGCAGCAACATATGAAGAAATAAAAGTTAACTCACAATTTACATGTTTTTTACTAGAGAACACAAGATTTAAACTTTTCCTAACATAAAATTATAACCGGTATTTACTATATTAAAACATATGATTAGCAGGAGCAAGAGTTTATTGTTTAATTTCACACATCAAAAGCTTTATGGAGATGGACCTGCCCCAAAGTTGCTCCTCTTGATGAGTCCATGTCGCCTACAATGTGTTTTTGTAATTAGTTCTTTTCGTATCACTAGGGGAAAACTTCCTTTCAAAATAAAAATTCCTCTGAGTAAGACTTTTAATATAGGCTTTACTTAATTTAATTGGTTATAAATTTAAGGTGTAAATAGCCAAGAGGAATTGCTCATGGGAATAATCAGTAGTTGCCTAATAACTATAAATAAGTAGGCCATAAAGAGCATGCTTCTGAGCTGAGAAACACATATAAAGAAAAGAAATCTTTTGATTTTATTAGAGCCAAGTGCTTGAAAGCTTCCTGCGTATCTGAGTATAAACAGGAGTATAGTTCTGAGGTCAGGCCGTTTGAAATGAATCCCCACACTGGCATACAGAGCTGCTCTGTCTTTACTCTACTGAGTCCTGCTCTAGTTAACCGCTATGAAGACTTCCAAAGACAACTGCAGGCGGGCACCTGCTGGAAAATGAGTAAAACTGCAAACGCCAGTGTAACTGTGGGCAGTGGCGAGGAGGGATGTGCAGCTCACTTTCCA